ATAAAAAATAGAATTTCCATATCAACCAGCCATCTCATTACCAGGTGTCTATTCAAAGAAAATAAATTCAGTATGTCAAATAAATATCTGCACTCCTATGACCATGCAGCTTTGTCTATGATAGCCAAGATATGAAATCAACCTGAGTGTTCATCAACGAATGAATACAGAAAACGTCATGTATATACACCCAATGGAATACTATTCGACTTAGAAGAAAATTCTGTCATTTGCGACAACATGGATGAACCTGGAAGACATTATAGTAAGGGAAATAAGCCAGATACAGAAAGACAAGTACCATATGATCTGATTATATGTGGAATCGAAAATAGTCAAACTCATAGAGCAGAGTACAGCAGAGTGGTTATGAACAGTTGGATGGTGAAGTGAGTAGATATTGATCAAGTGATTCAAACTTTTAGTTAGACTGAGAGATTCATTCAGGAGATTTGTTGTACAATATGTGATTAGAGTTAAAACAATGTATTGATTTCTTTAAAATGCTTGAGTATAAATTTTAAATGTTATTACACACAAAAAAATAGTAAGTATATAGGCAATACATGTTAATGAGCCTGATTTAGCCATTCCACAATATATCCATATACTAAACCATCATGTTGTATGCCATAAACATATGCAATTTTTATGAGCTAATTAAAAAATAAATTTAAAAAATTACAGTAAGGCCAGAGCCCCTGAAATATAATAGTGCTATCACTAACCAAAGAAAAAAATAGAGAGAATGAGTTAATTTCCAACTTCTGCTCACAACAAGCAATCTCCCCTCTGAGGCAAACCAATCCTGGCTCAGTTTTCAATTCCTCCATGAAGCCTTTGCTGACCATTCTAGTATGAATATTTTCTTCACACTAAGGATTTTATATTCAGGTTGATGATAAGGATAAGTGGTATAAACTCAAATGAATGAAAACCAAGATAATGGCCTCTCGAAATTTATTAATCGGCTTTTTGCTTTATTCCCCAGGTCTCAAAAGATAAGCTTAATTAATCCAATTTAATATGTAATGTTCAGAAGATTAGGTCTCTTAGGCTATACCTTGATGTCAATGCCAAATAAATCCTCTAAGAATTATTTTGAATAGTTGGGTCATTCTCTACAATGGCATAAATATTAACATTGATATCATTGTACGAATATTCTCCTAAATGATCAAGAAAATAGCTTAATTGCTATGTCTAAGTTAAAAACTAATACCAGGCAACCAACTGGTCTCTTTAAAACTCTTATCGGGAAAATTGAGGTGAGAATTTAACACTTATTATTGCTAGAAAAATGGATTCTTCTGAAACATTCTTTTCTCTGAGTTATTTATGGTTTTCTTTTTCCTTACATTTCTAATTTTTCAATGTTTAAGATTCTTAAATTCTTTTTCTAGATCTAAAGTCTATTGTGTAAACTCTAGACAATTGACTATCATTAATTTGTATCACTTATAAATTCAAGAGGAGCCTACATTTCTCCAAAAATAAATAAGAGCACGCTTTTATAGTAATAACAGAATACATTAGTGAAGAATTTAAAACTTCTTTTAATAACGTGGTAACCTCTACAATGAAATAGTGTTGAAAATGTTTGTATTGGGCATTCCCTATATACTAAAAAATTATATGAGCAAGGACTATCATTTCAAACTAATCTTTTAAACCCCCAATATAGTTTCAGGGAGTGTTCTGGTTTCTCTTGATTCTTAGAGAAATCAAATAGCAATATAAACCTCGTTTCTCTTTAATTTACTATAATAAACTGAGAAAACTGAAGGAAATTCTATGTTGGGTGACTTTAAAGTGGAAAAGGTAACCAGTTAATGAAAAAGTATTGAAAGTATATGTATATACATTTCAAAGTTCATTTTAAATATTGTTCCTAAAGGTGTCATTCCCCAAGTAATCTGACATTTAAAAGTCAGCAATATTTTCAAGACACTAAAATAGAAGAGATCTTTCTGTGTCTGTTCAAAACGTTTTCTCTGTTCCAAAAATTTGGAGTGTACTTGTGGTCAATAAGTATCCAGAAAGTTATCCATGTGTAAATGTCTAGAACAGTCTCCACTACCTTTTAAAGAAAGTAGGTAACATAAAACAGGCATTGAATATCAAGACAATGCATCAATGTTTCCAAAAGTAAGCATAATAAATGAAGGTCGATTGAAATAAAACATGCTCCAACAGGTTACAACTCCATGCTCAAGGACATACCTAGGGGGTTAGTCACAGCATTTTAAAAAATATCCTCCAATTTTAAGAAATGTGATCATCATACAATCTAGGAATAACATAGAAACATGATGTTCAAAAGAGTAAAAGTTGACAGTAAGGAGATACTGCTTTCACAGGTAAAGGTCCATAAAAATGCATTACCACCAGATGTGAACATATCCCTGAATGATTTGAGGTACATGCAAGACTGTCAGCAGATTATTATTGGAACTATCAGTGTCATCATCATGAGAATGAAGGAGGCACTTGTTCAGTAAGTGCATTGTGATGTTCTCCATGTAGATTCGTAAAGTGCAGAAAACGTTAGTTGAATCCCAGATGGTTTTTGTGAACTTATCAAAGTTAAGCACATCTAAGAGTGTGTCATTTTATGGACTTAATAAAGACCGTTTTCTGAATATGAGGAATAGTTACTGTGGAAGAGTTAAAATAGAGGCAAATATAATGAAAAAAACATGACCGATAATCTTTATTATATAGCAAAAGCTAGTTATAACATTGTGATGTGCGCTTCTGTGCTAACATCTGTTATATTTACTTGTAAGTATTTGGCAATTAGGGCTATTCTGCAAGTAAAATTTTTATTTTGTTTTTGTGCAATATTTTTGTGTCTGTTTTATTATAATAAATGTTCCAGGTAACCACCATTTAAAATATTTGAAAGTATACATTCATATGGATGATTCGATTCATTTAATCATACTGGTTAACTAATCGGTTACCATTTAGATGTTTAACTTTTTCACTATTATGAATGAGATTACAATCAACATCACTATATGTACCTATTTTCTGAACGTTTCATTATTATTTTTGACAGATTTATTTTCACTGCCCAAAAAATATGAACCTTAAGAGTCTCTTTAATCTACTGCCAAATTATTTTCTAATGATGACACCAATTTGTACCAGGAATACGATAAAGTTTCCATTTTACTGTATTCTAGATAACACTCAATATTATCAGTTTTTTAAATCTTATTTTCATAGGCAAAATAAATATAGCTTCATAGGTGTTTCTGAATGATGTTTCTCTGATCGGTTATAAAATCAAACATTTTTAATTTATTTTAAAAGGTTTTTTTCTTTGAGATTTTTCTATTCCTGGGCTTTACCTATTTTCTAGAAATTATTCCTAGTCATTTATATGAGCTTTTTATAGAACACACATACCTAAGCTTTATCAAATTTACTGAAAATTTGTGTTTGACATTTGATATTATTCATAATTTTTTGATATGTAGTTAGATGATTGATTTTTAACTTTTAGGATTTCTCCAGTTGCTTTTAATAGCATGAATTTCATTATGCACATACGTACTTTTACTCGTGCTATCATTAGTGACAGGGAAGGCCTTTTTATTTTGGTTGGTTTCTTTGAAACGTGGTCTCGCTGTGTCATGCAGGCTGGAGTGCAGTGATGTCATCATGGCTCTTTGCAGCCTCCATCTCTCAGGCTCAATGGATACTCTCACCTCAGCCTCCCCAGTAGCTGGCACTACAGGACCATGTCACCATGCCCTGTTAATTTTATTTCCTTTTCTTTCTCTTTGCAGAGACAGAGCCTTTTTATGTTGCCTAGGCTTGTCTGGAACTCCTGGATTTCAGTAGTCCTCCCTCCTCAGCTTCCCAAAGAGCTGAGAGTACAGACTTAAGCCACTGTGCTGGCTGGATTTTTAAATACCGCCTTTTGCTTTTTTCTCCCAGCTTCCATCTATAACACTTTCACCCCCCCAACTCCCAGACATATAAATATCCTGTAAATAGTTATCTTCTCCCCAGAGCATATTTTCAAGTATATACTCCACTAACATCAGAGATAGTAATTTGCTAGAAAGAGGCAGATGAAAAATAGTATTTAAAAAATATTTTTATTGAGGTAAATTATGGACAGCATAAAGTGTATCATTTCAGCCATATTTAAGTGTACAGTTCAGTGGCATTAAGGGCATTCATATTGCTATGCAATAATCACCATCATTTATCTCTAGAACATTTTCATCTTCCCGAACAGAAATACTCTACCCATTAAACAACAGCTCCCAGTCAATCCCTTCCCCTGGCAACTACCATTCACCTTTCTTTCCCTATAAATTCAATTATTCTAGCTTTCTCATGGAACTGAAATCACACAATATTTGTCCTTTTTTGTCTGGCTTATTTCCATCAGCATTATGTCCTCAAGGTTAATCATGTTATAACGAGTGTGAGAATTTCAATCCTTTACGAGACTGAATAATATTCCACCACAATGTATTTATCCATTCATCTGCCCATGAACATTTGGCTTGTTTTCACCTTTTGGCTATTGAGAGTAATGTTGCTGTTAACATTAGTGTACAAAAACAGTTTTTTGAGCGCATTGCTAACCACTCCCTATACAAACATTGAAACTGGGAACACTGATACCAACGACTGACACTTACATTATGAATCACCCTTACCTATCCTATATAGAGAAGCTTTGTGTTCTGAATACTTCTCTCAAGACCTGAAAAGCCATCTGTGTGCATCCAATCAGATAGTTTTCTTCAAAAATATGCTAGAAAGATGCTCAACCAATAGACAAATTGGCAACAGCTTCAGAAGATTAGTTCTCGCTATGAATTGGGCATGCACCAAATTCCAAGCAAAATGGAGCATTGTGGAAGATGCCTCTGTCCTTTTGAGCCAAAGAGCTTGATAGTTGTTTTGGGTGTATTATAAATTAGTACCTTATTTCTCTACTTTTTTTTTTTTTTTCAGAGAAATCAGAAATGGCTGAAGAAAATCACACCGTGAAAAATGAGTTTATCCTCACAGGATTTACAGATCACCCAGAGCTGAAGATGCTGCTGATTGTGGTGTTCTTTGCTGTCTATCTGATCACCCTGGTGGGGAATACTGGTTGGATGGCATTGATTTGCACACACGATCGACTTCACACACCAATGTACATCTTTCTGGGAAACCTGGCTCTTATGGATTCTTGCTGTGCCTCTGCCGTTAACCCCAAAATGTTACAGAACTTCTTTTCAGAGGACAACAGGATTTCCCTCTGTGAATGTCCAGTACAGTTTTATTTTCTTTGCACCGTGGAAACTGCAGACTGGTTTCTTCTGGCGGCAATGGCCTATGACCGCTATGTGGCCATATGCAGCCCACTACAGTACCACAACATGATGTCCAAGACACTCTGCATTCAGATGACCACAGGGGTCTTCATAGCTGGAAACCTGCATTCCATGATTCACGTAGGGCTTATATTCAGGTTAGTTTTCTGTGGATCAAATTACATCAACCACTTTTACTGTGACATTCTTCCCTTGTATAAACTCTCCTGTGTTGATCCTGATGTCAATGAACTGGAACTATTCATCCTCTCGGGTTCAGTTTAAGTCTTTACCATAGGTAGTGTCTTAATATCTTATGTCTACATTCTTCTTACTGTTTTCAGAATGAAATCCAAAGAGGGAAGGGCCAAAACCTTTTCTACCTGTGCATCCCACTTTTTGTCAGTTTCCTTATACTATGAATCTATTTTTTTCTTATACATTAGACCAAATTTGCTTGAAGAAGGAGATAATGATATACAAGCTGCAATTTTATTTACAATAGTAGTTACCTTACTAAATCCTTTCATTTACAGTCTGAGAAACAAGGAAATAAAAGGTGTCTTAAGAAGAAGTCTGCTGAAAATAAAACCTCAGAAAAGTTTGAACAAATGACCTCTATTTTAGATTAATGGTTTAATGCTCAAGAAACTTAAATAAAATTACACAGAGGAAGTGCACTAATAGTACAAAAAATATTAAAACATACCAAAATAAAAACAAATTCAGTAACAATATGTGACAGGGAAAATTCATGGAAAAGGGTAAACTGTGTTAATCTTTACTCAGAATTTGAAGCACATCCTGACATCGAATTCATTCAAGCGGCAATGTAGGATGCCACCATGTCTACAGGTTGTGTTAGTAACAATGATAATCAACACCCAAAACAACAGCAACACTACCAGCTGCAATATAAAAGGCCATTCCATTTACAAAGTGGGCTTTGAGAACCAGCGCATTCTAATAGCTGACAACATGAGTGTTACAGTTAAGTGTTTAAGATCATGTGAACAATCAACCAATGAAATCACTTACATCCATGAGCAACAAAAATGGCAAGTGAATTTTGAAATCTACATGCATAAAGATACCGTATCATAAAGTTCTAGACAAATAGTTCAGACCTTATGTAGATCTGAAGAGCCTTCATTGTCAGTGAGTTAGGCCAAACTTCTCTGTGCCCCTTACTGAGAGGCGAGGAAGACACAATGGAGACACAACCTTTGGATATATTACATATAGACATGTAAAAAAGTATGATTGTTGAACTGTGAACAAGGCTTATCTCAAATAATTTTTTTTTGTATTTTCACCATTCCAAAACTTAAAGTTGTTTAATGTGGATAGAACCCATTAATCTTAATGCGATATCATAAAAGAATTAACTTCCAATTATTCACTCTACATATGTTTATTAAGATCCTGCTATGTGCAAGCACTGTTCTAGGTGCTGAAACATACTAAGGACCAAACACTACTTTGTTTCATCTTCTTAAATAATAGAACATTGCCATGATTTTAATTGCTAACTTCTGGAACGAGGAGGACCCATAACAAGTAACAGAAAAGTTCTCCCTTCCATTTCCTCTCTTGATACTCTGTGGTGACATCTAAATTTGCAGAAGGCAATTGTCAGGTTGCAGCGGGCTTCAAGCTAGCCAGCCACCAGAGGCTGGCATCAGGTGGAAAATCGGCACGCTGAGTCTATATAGAAAAAGGAGTAGAAAACAGATATGTTTCTACATATAATTCCCTAAATCATCACTACAAAACTATAAAAATCTACTGTATCTTTGGAACCTCCAAGAAAACCTAACCTAGTTTATTCCAATTATGCTCAGACATTTCAGTATTTCCTTGTCTGTTTTAAATTCAAACTCCCTCAACTGAATTTTTGCCTAATCCACTTCCAACAACATCACCAAATGTACTTGGATACTTGCTATGTGTCCATCCTGTGCTAAGCTGTACATATACATTACCTCATTTAACCCTCATAAATCCTTTGGGAGAATTGCAATTATTATCCCATGAGACAGATGAGACTATGAAGCACAGTACAGTTGAGTCACTTGCTCAATGACCCACAGGAGTCTGCATGGCCTGAACCCCAGGCTGCCTAATTACAAAAACTACATTCTCAATTTTACATAAGAAATCACAAAAGGTCACCCAGAGATTGCACAGAATTATTTATTCCATGCGATGCAGAACGGCATAGTGTTCTTTGGAAAACTAATTTTAAGAGATTTTAAAATCAGGAGAATTTTTATAGAAGCAAAATTAGACTTTTCTTGAAAAGTTGGGAAAGCTGCCAGCAATTCCTATGCTATCTCCCTGGCCCATCTGAACCTTTAAATTTATGACATTGCATTAAAAACTACTGGCTCTCACCATACTTCTTTATTTCACTGCTTACTTACAGTACAAATATTTACCAAGTTGTAAAGTAAAAATATTCACCAAGTCGTAGTTGGGAATTATAAAATATACTGACTTGAACAATGTCTCAATGTTTCAGCTTACCTTTTATAGTGAAAACATTAAAAAGGGAAAAAATGACCAAGAAGTTCCAGAAGGGATAATTCATTAATTCATTTGCAGTCATATATAGAGGATTAAGCAAAACCAAAAATAACAATAAATAAATCAGCTAAATACAGAATTTGTAGGGAACGTATTAAAAGGGTGGTGTGGTTTCGGGTGTGTACTTCTGCTAGATGCTTTTTCACTATGCATTAAGTATGCACTGTATGATTCAACTAGTACCAAGAGGCAAGATGGGAAATTTTGAACTGTTGGTCATACACCAGAGGGGAAGAATTGGGAAGAAATACATAACTTATAAGGAAAAGAAGTAGATTTAACAAAAGAAGCTTTATATCTTAAATGCTTGCATTGACTTCTTCACTGGTTTTCTGAGTCCAGCTACGTTGATTTTATAAGAAAAGGCCCCACTTTCATCTACTCACAGATTGCATCTGTTGGTTGAATCATCCGTGATTTATAGTTCAAAGAAAAAATAAGGTTTTGGAGATCATATTCACTGGGGAGGAAATGAAGGTGGAAAGAAAGATGCAGTCAGTTCCTAGCAGTTTGCCCCTGATGGTGATTATTCATAAGTCATGGTGTGGAGCTTGCAATGCTTGAAAGCCCAAATTTGCAGAACCTCTAGAAATTTCAGAACTTTCTCATAGTTTTGTTACGGTAAACCTTGAGGATGAAGGAGGACGCAAGGATGAGGATTTTTCCCTGATAGAGTTATATTTCACACATCGTTTGTTTGGATCCCAGTGGTAAGGCGCATCCTGAAATCATCAATGAGAATGGAAACTGCAGCTGCAAGTATTTCTACATCAGTGCCGAGCAAGTTGTTCAGGGGATGAAGGAAGCTCAGGAAAGGCTGATGGGTGATGCCTTCAGAAAGAAACGTCTTGATAATGATTTGTAACATGAATATATATATATATATATATATATATATATATATATTTTTAATCAGAGTTAGTGTTCTGGAAGAAAAGCAGAGGGAATACTGAAGAATTACCCAGGAAAATTAAACCACTTGACCTCTCTCACTGTGAAAGAGCTCTGCTAACAAAAGCTGTTCTGCATGTTTGTGGATCTAGCAGAGTGTGACAAACTTTATTTTCCTTCTCCCTTGTATATAAATGCCAATTTGTCACTGAATGTAAAGAATGAAACGCTCCAGGCAGGCACGGTGGCTCATGCCTGCCCGGAAGTGCTGGGATTCCAGCACTTTGGGAGGCTGATGCAGGAAGATGACCTGAGGTCAGCAGTTTGAGACCAGCCTGAACAATACGGTAAAACCCTGTCTCTAATAAAAATACAAAAATTAGCCAAGCGTAATGGTGTATGTCTTAATCTCAGCTATTTGGGAGGCTGAGACAGGAGAATCACTTGATCCTGGGGGGCAGAGGTTGCAGTGAACTGAGATAGCGCTACTGCACTCCAACCTGGGTAACAGAGCAAAACTCCATCTCAAAAAAAAAAAAAACAAACAATGAAACATTTGACACAAAACTTTAGTGAGACACTGGCGGTTTTCTCTTCACACCTAAGTATTTGAGTCTTTCCCCATTTCCTTCCACATTTCTCACCTGAGTGGTCAGAGAAGACCAGTAGCATCTTTACTACAATGTCAAAATTGCAGAAATAGTGAATCAATTTTCTTTAAAAAACAATAAATCCTAAATATAAGTCAGTAATTCTACCCCATACTGAGGAGACCTGTCTGTTTTTTCTCTTTTCCTCCTGGGAATAATCACAGGCTTCTTCCCAAATCCATACAACCTCTTTCCTCTTCTCCTACTTGGGCTTCCCTATTTGCAGGCATGCATGTGCAGGACTGGCTGTGTGCTTGGACTCAGCTCCAGCTGGAAGCATGCTCTCCTTTGCTACTGTTGGAGAAATTCAACAGTACAAATAGACAGTTGACGACTTGACCTTCAAGCTATAGGGGCAGCCTTGTGTCAGGTCATCAACTGTATTTGTGTATGAGGTTAACAAAATAGAGACATAAAATATTAATTGCTCCTTTAAATTTTAAGAACCCTTTAGAAGAAATAAATAAGCTAAATACCTTATTTTTAAAAGAAAATCTCATACAGTGGACAGTTAACTGTTGAACTGTATGTTCTTTACTAAAAAATTATTTCAGTTGTTTTACTGGGCAGGAAATATAAGTATGAACTTGATAGAAATATGGTAGAACAATAATCAATGTAATTAATCTTAGGCAACTCTATTTTACTAACCATGGCTATTAACCAACCCTTTTTGTTAACTATAAACTTGCTATTTTATTGGATTTTAATTATCTTCATCTCTGCATTATAATTTTATGTTTTGTTTATCTTAATTAATCAATTTCAATCCCAGGGAGCAGAGAGAACAGAAACTAGTTAGTCCTCTTTAAAGTGTTAATGAGAAAAGCAGCTTCCTTTTCATAAAGGAAAGGAAGCCAGATACTAATGTAGGAGAGAAAGCATGCAGTATCAAATTAGTATGATAACTTTGGAGAAATGAGTCATATACTGATATGACTTACAGGTCTATTTTGTTTGACGCTCCCTTTAGAAGATAAGGATAAAATAATACATATGAAATAAAGGAAAACTGAGATAAAAACCACAAAATTTCTACAGGGAGAATAAATTACTGGGGATTTTAAAAACATGACTTTATACAGGGATATGTATCTATGTGGAACTAGTTCTTCATAAAACCAGAGAATTACCATGAGAAAAGTAAACAATGGCCTTGGCTATGATGCCCTGATGGTCATGTTAGGGCAGTCTAACCTGAATGCAGGCAGCAGAGCTGGTATATCATTTAAGATGAGTGGTCAGGGGTGGGGAGTTTGCAATCAATCTGAATATAAACTATAGGAGTTACTCTAGGTTACCAAAGTGGGAATAACAGCGCAGGGAAAATTGATTTACTCATGCCTGGAAGGCAAATATCAGTAGACTAACTCGATGTGTAGGTCAAGTAATGTAATATGAGGGGCACCTAAATATTTCTAATCAAAATATTTCTCCAACTTTATAGCAAGTACATATTCCACTATTAGAATACTAAATTGAAGCAAACATAATAAATGGATTTTACCTTTCCTGACAAATGAATAAGAGGACGATTGATTTGACTCAGAAATGAAATGTGTTATGCTTCCATATTTTTAAAAAATTATTTATTTTTTAAATAAATGTGGTGGCACATATTTTACATTGTTTATGAGGGGAGGGGTGCAGTCTGTGTCTCAGGGTCTACTAAATGCATGGCACCAGCTAA